AGCCCAGGGCGGCCTGGGCCCGGAGCGCGGCGGGCGGGCGGCCTTTGCAAACAGGGGCCCCGCGGCATGGACCATCCGCCCCCCCGGGGGGCAGCGCGCAGCTCGCTTTAGCGCAGCGTCCTGATCGTCAGGGCAGCTGCCCAGGCAGATCTATTAGTTTGTCGTGGTCACAGGCACGTTTGTAAAGACTAATCTCGGGGTGTCTGTTTGTTTATAGGAAATAAACGGGTTCTGGGACAAGGAAAATGAAATTTGGTTGCCTTTCCTTCCGACAACCCTATGCAGGATTAGTTTTAAACAAAGTCAAAACAGTAGAGACTCGCTGGCGTCCTTTGCTAGCAGACTACAAGAACTGCACCATTGCTATTCATATAGCTGTTAAGGACTGGGAAGATGAAACATGGAGAGCAATTCTTTTGAATAGGTTTGGTATGACACCAAAACAAGTGCAAGATTTGTTGGATAAAGGGGAAAAATTTGGCAGAGGAGTTATTGCAGGTAAGCAACCTTGGATTATATTTTCCAAGCAAGCTTTCAATCCATTAACTTGCTTCAGTCCAATACACATCTGCTTTATACAGTTACGCTCATTATAACATTGCTTTAACACTTACTTTGAAGGAGTGGTGCCTGAGTTGTGACTGGGGGGCCATTTTGATTCCTTATCACTGTAAGCTGAGGTCCGCCAGGGAAGTTGTAAATAAAATTTATTCTTTTTCATTGTGTTGGAAATGTGAAGTATCTTTGACCTTTAGGATAAAGAATTTTAGTCAGGCCTCAGTTTTTAAAATACACTCACTCTACTAAAAACTTAAGGCTACAACTCTAAAGTCTGTACAAGAAATAAAATTGATTTGTGCTAACTTGTCACACAGTAAGATAGTAAAAAGTGGGTTGCATATTATTTTGTTGCATGATAATAAATGTCAATTCCACACGTTTTTTGCATTTTGAGCTTAGGAACTTGCTGAAACCATTTTATAGTACTTGTAGTCAAGTGAAGTCATGACATTGCAGTGCTTTGCATGTCACATTAAGAGTATTACATAAATCCTATTTCAGTTCTACAAATGCTCCATCGCTCTTGTTATTTGGGCAGTGTAGAAGTTTGTTTCTGTAACACAAAGTTAGGATGCAGTGGTGTTTCTTTGCTTATATTGTGCTGAAATACAACGTATGTTGCTGCACTGTATACTTACAAAGTTTTTATCCAGCACTCATTTTTGCACTCTTTTCTTGTAGGTGTCTTTTGTTACACCATCTATCTTGCATTCTCATTTGAGTATTTTTAGCTATTCCTGCACAACAAATTACTTCTATCACATACACTGAAAAACTTGTCGTTCTACAGTGCTGAAAATTTTTAGGTACTATATAACATACAGATTTGTAACCTTGACATAAATTGCACACTAAATTGTAGAGTAGGTATCAAAGCTTCTTTGATCTTTATTTTAATGTTTTTAATCATTAAGCAATATAGAAATTCCCTTTCGTGACATTAAAAGGGTTCCAGAGAGCAGGAATTTCCATATAGTTTAATGATTTTAAAATGTTAATAGAATAGTGTCCTGGTAGGAGCAGAGAGTGTTTTATTTTTAGTGAAGCTGTTTCAAGGCCAAATGTAGCTCAGGAGTTTTGGTAGCAGCTGCATCTCCTTAGATGCAGGCTTTTTTTAACAGAATTCCAGATCAGAGTTGTGAATGTTGTAACTGCATGCTTCACCTGTTCTTCACTGACCTAAGTTCAGTCACATAGGCCATCTTCTGCAGTGAATGACACTGTTTTGAGGGGTGCGTGCTTCATACTGTGTTCTTCTGGTGACAAATCAGCTGTTTTGTACATCCTCTGGGAGGCTTACTTTTGGAAAACTTTTCTCTAGGAAATCAAATAACCAACTAATTTTATGTTTTAATTTTATAATATAGGATTAATTGACATTGGAGAGACATCACTATATCCAGAAAACTTGCCTCCTGAAAAGATTCTGGAGCTGGAAAACAAAGCTGTCCTCAGTAATCTAGAACAGAAATACTTGACTGTTGTTTCAAATCCAAGATGGCTCCTGGAACCAATTCCTGCCAGAGGGGGAAAAGGTGTGTGGCAGGTGGACATCCCCGAAGAATTGATCCCTTCAGAAGCATAGGTGTTGGCCCTCACTGTTATTTTTCGTGCCTAAATGCAAACTTGTAATTCACAAGTCAGCATCTTGAATATCAGTGAGTTGTTTAGGACTCCCTTCCAAAACTAATTGTTTGAAATAGCAAATACAATTGAAGAACTGCTCTTTTGAGGCAAAAGAAGATACAATTTTTATGACCATTACTGGAAATTATTAATGGTTTACTAGATTTTGCCTATATATGTGATTTATTTTTTTAAAGACATGGTTGAGGTATTGTGTGCCAGTTTAAAACGTGAGTAAATACAACCATATTATGATGCCTGCAACCTCTGATGATATGAGGAAGAGAGAGTTTGTAGGACCCTTCAGAATGGTGTTTGAAAGCAGGCTGCCATCATTAATATGACATCCGTCTCACAGCCCACTCCTAACCTTACATTTGTGGGATCATTGAGAAAGCAAGCATCTGAGATAAGGCCAGTCCTAGGGGCTTCTCAAACAGAGGCAGAGATTTGCTGGACAAAGTTTCTGTGCGTGGTGTGTGTTATGTGCTGCAAATGTAAAACTTCCAGAAAGGACCAGATTTTCCTCATTCACAGGTTAGGTATATTAGACGTGCATATGATGGGGGGAGCAGTCTACAGTATACAGCTCTCTGACACAACAGCCTGTGTTGAAAGGCCTTTATCGGAAAGAAGGTGCTTGTACAAAATTAAGTGAGTATTATAATATTTTTCTGTCATTTAAGATGAAAAATATTAGTAAGCTTTGAAAATCCAATATTGAATTAAAGACAAATGTGAAGAGTAACAAATAGAAGTCACTAATTTTGGCACTTCCAGAGTTTTTCAAAATTCACACCCTGCATTACAATGGAAATCCTTTTGACTTTCTGGAGCAAAGCCCAAGGCCAGGCACAGGCATGGCTATAAAGAGAGGACAGGACAACTGGCAAAGGCTTTGTATTCAGGTAGTTTATTGGAACACTTAGGAGACTATTCCCTTGGACTATTCAGCTTCTAAAAGAACTGTGGAAGGTACCTAGCGTGCCCTGGGTTGGGGTCCAAGGCCATTGCCTGCAGGTCCGCTGTTTGGACCACAAGTGCAAGTCGGGCAGTGGCAATACGGTGGAGTTTGGCCCTGCGGTGGCCTTGGCATAGACAGAGCAGCAGCTGCTGCCAGCACAGCTGGAGAGGTGGGAGGTGCCAGCCCTGGCGGAAAGTGACTGTGGGGCACAGCCGGCACGGCGCGTCCAGAAGCAGCACCCTCGACGCCAGCCGGGTCTGACTCGGGTAGCTGCCTTGGCACGTCGCTTGGCAGGTGCGGTCTTCCTGGCTGCAGAGGTGTGCATGTTCTCCCTTGGACCTGCTGTGAACAGACCGCTCTCCTCCTCGGAAGTGGTTTCCCACGCAAGCTCAACATCTGGTTTTCTTTTCTGGCGGCGTGCATGCCAATCCGTGTCCGGTGAAAATCCTACTGGTGTTCGATTTTTTGGACCAAACCTTTGCTTATACTTCATTAGCAGATGCGGAAAATGTCTTCGAAAATTTGGGTTGTAGAAGTGGTGAAACTAAAAAATGCAAAGGAAAAGAGTTGCCGCCACCTTGAGACTGGAAACCACAAAGATACAAGAACTAAGAATTTTAATTGCAACAGAGAAATGTGGATATTAAAAAGGACTATCGGGGGCGTTCTAAACCTGAAGTTTAGGCTGAATAAAATGGTGCGATACAGTCCTGTTAATAGTAACCAGTGTTGTGGTTTTACCACTTGGTAGCAGAGAAGCGCAGGATTTTCAAAAGCATACCAACTGATTTAGAAACCCAAATACCATTACTTTTCAGCAACTTTGGCGTGGAATGGACAAGTACGTAACTATATGATGCTGCCATGTACCTTCTCAGCCTCCAGCAAATGCCACAAGAAAACTGCAGATCTGGTACAGCAAGACACATAGCAAACACAAAAAAAAAAAAATCCCAATACGATGAGAATATCTTTTCATTTTATGTGTTCAAAGTAGTTGGAAATAACCAATGTGTATTTTTGCATATTTTATCAGCATTTCTACTACTCAGAAATGCTACCTCAAAAACTCCTGAACATGAGCCGAGAAACAAAATGACAATCAGAACATTTGCTACCGTCCTCATCTCCTATGTAGTAAAGGCTTATTTAATTGGAACAGAAATCTGTCCCACTAGAATATTCTGAGAGTTAGTTTGCATGTAGAGGACCCAACATACCTCCCTAGCTTTCTTCTGCTAGCAAGTCATTGTGTGAGCCCGATTTTGGAAAATCCCACAGCTTTCTGGTGAATCCGAACAGATGGAGGTGATGAATGAAGTTTTTCATGCTCTCACTTTCAAAAATTCTCAGACGTCCTCTCCTTGCTAGTACTTCCTCTTCGAACAATTCTTCATGAATCACTACACACTTTCATTGTCACCCCACCAAATGGACTCAAACCGATCACTTTCAACAGTGTCCCAAAGCTTCTTCAAAAAGCTGAGGCATGTAGAGGCATCGCCTTTGCTCGAGCTCTCCTCAGATGAATTCAGATGCTCTCTTTTTGACCAGGGTTGCTTAGTCGAAGTTTGTAAAGACCTTTCCTTCTATTGGAGGTCCAAAGGCAGCATCACTAGCTGCTCTTCTGTCACATGCTGGACAGAGAGAAGTCGAGCCTGAAGAATCAACTCCCTTGGCCAGAACAGAATCACATGAAGTTTCCAATGAGGAAAGCTCCATTTTCAATTATTTTTTCTCAGTTTGAGTAAATTTTTCAGCTGATCCCTAGCAGTTAGGCTGTCCTGTCAGACAGCCAGCTGAAAGGAAGTGACCAACTGACTGAGAATCCCAAGTGAAAATGCTCAAACACCCATGCTGCGCTGCTGTGACATCACAGAGCAGCATCCCTTTCCTAGTGACATGAACCAGCAGTGGCAAGTGTTGCTTTTCATTTACAGATTTTTTTTTTTTTACTCGAGCCAAAAAGTAAATAAAACTGCACTGACATTTTAAGTGTAGTGATAGGACAGTGCTGTGTTGGGTTTCAGCCAGTAGCTGGTCCACAGGGAAGAAGAGAGAGGTCTGCAGCACTAGGAATGAAAGCACCACATCTGTGAAGTTTTTCAGGTGTGCACCTTTCACACATGCAGAAATGTCCGTACACTCTTTGCTTGTCTCATTGCCGTGCTAACACGAAGGAAACATGATCCACGGTATTTAAGCTACCTAAACTGTGAATTCACCTAAGCATGAAGAGCAGCTGCAAGGATGTGGCAGTATCCAACATCTGTTGTTATACTAAACCTATACTGGAGTATAGGTTTCAAAGAGTAAATTTCTCTAAAGCTCCTGAAGTCCAAGACAATCTGTCGAAGGAGGTCTTTCTTCAAACAAGAAAATGCTATACCAACACTGATGAGTTCCTATCTTGAAAAGTTTAATCATTTACACCAACACAAAGTTGGTAATGAAGACCAAGCTATGATATTTATACCAGCTAACTGACAGCTGTAAAACCTACAACTAATGTTTCTGGCATAGACTGCATGCACAACAAGAGGGAACAGCTTATTAAACAGCCGGTCTAATGGAAGAATGGTGTACATGCTGCTCAAAGAAGAATTAACACATGAAACTAGAAAAGCAACAAAAGCAACACTTAACTCCCAAGCTAGTGCAAAAGTTGAAATACTTACATGAAAATTTACATAGCTAACTCAAAACATCATGTAAGTTGCTATACATTCTACTTCCCCCCAAAAAAGCTTTCCAGTCTTGCCTGAGAAGTGCAACACTCCTGTGCCTCTGCGGTTAAGACAATGATTGTGGCTGAACAGAAAAAGAAGTAAAGAGGTACTATACTAAGACATCCCCAAAGCATTTAAAACAGACATGGAAATCAAGTGTATATTTAGGACCTAAAAGACACCTGGAATAGCATAGGCATTTCATACAGGGTTTTTAAAAAAATACTTTTAGATAATACTTACACTGTACATGACAAGACTTTTAAACAATATATTACACTGCTAAAATGTTCATATAAATACTATACAGGCAAGTGTGCAACCAACCCGTTAGGAAGGTTCACAAGTTACACCACCACGTATCTCTGGAAAATGAATCAGATTATCTTCAAGATCTGATTTGTGTAATCCAAGCCACTGATTCAGCAATACCTATTTTAAAGTAATTGGGACAAGGCATGAGATGAAATACATTTATCTTCTGATTCCCAGTTCAGGTTTAATATGCTACTGTGATCTTAATCTGGCATATCAATGTTTAATTTGGGAGGTGGAATCACGTATTTTCCAGGACTCTGTGTAATGACCACGCCAGTCTTTTTTCGAAACATTGGTGCAATTTTTGGTGGCTCGGGCAGTGGTGTTTCTTCTGTTTCCTCATTATCTTCATGATGAAGATCATATGAAATATTTCCATATTCTCGTAAGAATGGGAAAATTTCAAGCAGGAACTGGCAAAAGTCTTTGCGAATTCCAAACCACCCTAAAAAAAAAATCATTTCCCATTACTGCAGAGCAGAACGAAAATGTAATTAAGTAAGCAGACTATGCAATCTCATTTAAGTTCTCTTATATTGTTCATATGCAAACAATCAAAATTTGTTAGTGCTGCTTCTCAGTGTGTTACTTACACCTATCATATAATAACATTACAGTTCAGATTATATACACACAGATATACATACAGAATATATACATGCATTTGCATGCCTCTGCATGTCTGTACATACATGTCTGTGTGTGTATATCCATACGTACAAATTACAGCTATACTACCACAGCAAGAATCCATTTCATTTCACATGTTAAGCAGTGTCAGGTCACATCAGTACACAAAGAACACAAAAGACTCTGCATCTCAATCAAAGCAATCAGTGTCACATGGGAAGACATTCATGCCAACTTTTGTTTGATACATATAGGTTACAATACCAGAGGGAATGTGATGGCATAGGCAGACACAGATTAGTAAATGTATCTATTCAGTATTCCCCAAATACTTTTGTTGTTAGCCAAATATGCTGTGATGCCAGGAGTATCTCATCCTTGGTATTACCTGCACTAGATTAGAAAACAGTACACATTCTGTGTTTGTCATGTATTTTGCTATATGCAAAGACTTTGAAAGAGAGCATTTAAGTAAGCAGCACTCGTAATTCAGCAGATGGCACTCCTCTATTAACCAATACCAAAGGTCAGTGTTAAAAGGAACAGCCTGCCCACATTAAGTCTTTCCACTGAACGAAAGCAAGGTATTAAGCATTTGCCAGGGAAGATCCCATACAACCCATTTTTTTGCACAGATTATACTTCATGGCCAACTGGTGTATTCCGCTTAGCACTTTAACAGTGGATTTTCATGCAAGTCTTCTGAGGCTCACTTCAGATGAATAGTCTTTTTTAAAAAGTTACATAAATATTTATTAACCCTACAGAAGAAAAAACGGACATGTGGCTTTCCAAAAGACTAATTTGGCCATAAATTATCGAGGGCATGCATTTTAAAAAAACCCACGAGTAACAACTTTCCATACAATAACAATATAAAAGTAAACTAAATGTATGGAGGTAAGCTTAGTCATGACTGAAGAAAGAAAGTCTCAATATATTTCACAATCAGACCAAAAATGAAGTGAATTTATATAACAAACATCACAGCTGGTTCCCTTCCACTCTGAAAAATCCTAACAAATTTTATTGCCTTGTGAAAAAGGAAGATGAACTGCAACATGGATGGGAAGAGCTACTTACCTGCACTGGTTCAGTAACATTACATGGCTGAAAGTGCAAATGCTCCTTTCAGCAGTGCTAGTTGTGGTGGGGATAAAAGCCTAGTAAATCTACACTGGCCACTCAGGCAACTGAAGTTAAAATTAAGCAGCACAGAGCACTACTTGGCCAAAGAGGAAAGAGAATACTAGTTCAGGCTACTAGGACAAATGCTAATTAAAAATGGTAGGTGCTACACGATTTTCAGAACACAGAGCAGAAAGATCCAGTCACGTCCTGTGAGAATGAAACCCATGGAAATAAGGAAGGATAAAAGGCTAAGTTACAATTAAAATCCCATTGAGATTTCAAGTTGAGTCCAAGCAGCAGCCATGCTCTTACAGGAAAAAAAAAAAGCAAGAGACACTATAAACACTGAAAACTTACTAAAATCGCCTGAAAACAATAACAGACACATCTGAATTCTTTCATGAGAGAATAAACACAAAAAAGCCTGTTTTGAAAATACAAAACTTAATGAAATACATTTAAGCCTTGCATTTCAAGCTGTTTCTATGATTTTTTAAATACTTACAGTGATTTCCTCCTTTTTGTCCAAATGTTGTTGCCATTAAAGTTATCAGTGAAAGCCAGAGAGGAACAAATATGGGTATAAAAGAAAAAGAATTATGCCCATCCAGTCTGTGTACTAGTAAGATCTAAATGGCAAAAAAAAATACAATGTCAGTTTAATTGCAATACCCACTTCCAAGCTTCTTAAAACATATGCTGATCTCAGATCTTTAACTTCACACATCCGTGAAGAAAAACAGCATCCACAGAAGACAGTAGCATGTAGTTACAGTTCCAATGTGATGCATATTTTACTCAAAAAAACTTTAAAGAAACATAGAATTCTTGGTTTTCTTTCATATTTGCTGTTAATATTTTATTCTGAAACAAAAAGCAGTACTTTCATTTTAGTAAGTTCAAAAAGAGACACAGCAACATTCATCACTCACTGAAAAAAGAACAAGATATATAAAACTCGCTATGCTTTTTCCTACCTCAAATGTGAGCAGTGGAACTACAATGGTCATCCAGCTGACAGCCATTGTTATGTGCGTCCTCCTTTGCTCAGCAATCACATCCATAGAGCGCAAGAATAGAACAGACCATACAATGTAATAGAGCACTACTAGACACAGAAAGGACATCAAGATCCACAGTGGAACACAAACAACCTGAAAGAAAAATAAATTAACTGCTTTCCCCCCCACAACAGTGATACATTTTTATCAGTTTGATTTGTTTCAGGTGTGGGTTTTTTAAATAAAGCGAGTCTACATATTAAGTCTAGACAAGAAAAAGAAATTTAAGTGTAATGCTCTTTAACTAATATAATCTCTAACAGAAAAGCTTCACAATCACATGCACTGTTATGAGCCGTATCAGCTCTTTGGGATTCCTCAGTTAGCTCTGTAAACCCCATCAAGCTGAAACAATTTAAAGTTAAGTCAATGTAGTTCAACTTTAATAAGTCTTCTGTGATTTT